AGAAAACAAATCAAGAAAAAACGAGCTTAATGAAAATATTAAAATTTCTCGTGGAAATAACTTTTATCTATATTAATTATATAAAGAGAAGTCCCTTTTTTTTGTAACAGGTAATCTCGCGAACGGCTGGTCCGATTTTCATGAAATTTTGTATACAAATAGCTTTCGGTAACCACCATGTTTTAGGCTAAAATTTTTTACTTTTTTTCGGGTAGGTGGACCAGGGACCGGTCTATTCGAAAAAATCTTATTATAGTCCGATTTGCTTAAAATTTAGTACGTAAGTAGCTTTTTAGCATATATTAGCATAGATGACCCATCTTTTCCGAGAAGTGGACCAGGGACGGATCTATTCCAAAAAATCGTATTTATGGTCCGATTTGCTTAAAATTCGGTACGTAAGTAGTTTTTTAGCATATATGGTAAATTTTTTCCGAGAAGTGGACCAGGGACTGATCTATTCGAAAAAATCCCATTTACGGTCCGATTTGCTTAAAATTCGGTAGGTAGGTAGCTTTTTAGCATATATTAGCATATATGATCCATTTTGTCCGAGAAGTGGACCAGGGACCGATCTGTTCGAAGAAATCGTATTTATGGTCCGATTTGCTTAAAATTCGGTACGTAAGTAGTTTTTTAGCATATATTAGGATATATGGTCAATTTTTTCCGAGAAGTGGACCAGGGACTGATCTATTCGAAAAAATCGTATTTACGGTCCTATTTGCTTAAAATTCGGTACGTAGGTAGCTTTTTAGCATATATTAGCATATATGATCCATTTTGACCGATCTGTTCGAAGAAATCGTATTTATGGTCCGATTTGCTTAAAATTCGGTACGTAGGTAGCTTTTTGCCTGGATAAGCTTATAGATTCCTGTTTTCCAATTTTCATGCAATTTCGAATATAAATAGCTTTAAGTAACGACCATATCAAGGGGCGAATTCGTCACTAGGCAAGATTTTTTTGGGCCAATCTGAAACAACGGATACTGTCAAAATATAATTATAATATATAATATATCTTAACTAATATATATTTAGAAAGCCGTTTGTTAGTTTTCGCAAGGCTCGAGAGCGGCTGAACCGATTTTTATGAAACTGCCACCTGCCGCACGTGTCCCAAGGATGGTTTTAGGCTGAAAAAAATCTATATGTAAAGGGGGCGTGGCACATCCCATACAAACCGAATTTCTCATGCTACATATCTCTGAAAGTGTGCATGGTAGAGTTTTGGAAATTGGTATGGAGATATACGAAATCAATCGCATATCCTTGGAGAAAAATTTTAGCTATTGTAAAAAGGGGTGTGACATCTCCCATACAAACCGATTTTTTCATACTGCTTACCTATGGAAATTTTTTGGTAGAGTTCTAGAGTTTTGTATGGAGATGTACGAAATAAATCGCATACTCTTGGAGAAAAATTGGAACTATTGGAAAAGGGGGCGTGGCATCTTCCATACAAACCGAATTTTTCATACTGCCTATCTTTGGAAGTGTTCACGGTAGAGTTCTGGAACTTGGTATGGAGATATACGAAATCAATCGCATACTCATGAAGAAAGAGGGCAGCTGTTGGAAAGGGGGGCGTGGAACCTCCCATATAAATCGAATTTTTATACTGCATATCTCTGAAAGTATTCATGGTACAGTACCGGAACTTCGTATGGAGATATGTATATAGTTGAAATCAAGCCCATACCCATGGAGAAAATTTGGGCTATTTGAAAAGGGGTGTGAGGCCTACAAACGTACCGACCTTTAGCTATCTTTGAATGATTTTTTTTATTCTTCTGTAGGTGTGTTTGTGAGTGAAATCCTCCTAAATGGTTGTACGCATTTTAACGAAACTTTTTGTGTATTTAAGTGGGTCTCTGGATGGTTTAGTTTCACAATTTAATCCGACAGTTGGCGCTATAGTTGAGTTATTACTAAAAATCTTATTTATGATCCGCTTTGGCTAATGTTTTAAATATGTATGCAATACTATTGCAAAAACGTGCTGCCAAAGGGGCCGTGAAGGTCAGATTAAATCGACCTGTTGCACCATTGAGTATATCGAACGCTCCTGCGTTGCAATTGGCCCAATGGATGTGATTTTCCAATATTATTATGCGTTCAAAGTTTTAAGGTATTTCGTCTGAAATAAGTATATGTATATTGCATTTCTGTAGAACAATGATTCGCAGCCATTCTGAAATTGCCACCTACTATACTGTAAAGCTTCTACTTAGGACATTCACTATAGAACCGGGTCATTGTTGCCGCCAGGGAGTGAAGAGGAAAAAATTTATTTCGCTTTGCGAATAACCGTGCTATGAAATGCCGCACAACTGGAGAATTTCAAGAACGGATATAACACTTTCCTTAGGTTATTTAAAGACAAATGACCACCAAACCTTAATCTTAGCAGACAAATGTGCCAATGAAAATCGTAAACGTGAATTGTTGGTGAAAATGTTGGACCAAAAACTTTCAATAAAATATATAAAAATTTTGGGCAGGACGAAGTTCGCCGGGTCTGCTAGTATCTATATATAAATACGCCACAAGAAAATTTTGCAATCCCTTTTTTGAAAGCACCGTTCGCTCGATTTCAATGAAACATGTACCGATTTAAAGGATATAACGTCCTCTAATCCAGAAATGTTAATCCCGATACATAGGGGGCGTGACATCTGACATATAGACTAAAATGTGAAAACCACTATATCTCTAAAACCAATTATGCTGGGGAACCGAAACTTAGCACAGATGCATATATTGTAAATACCTTTATTACGGTGAAAAATGGTAGGTACTGGGCAAGTGGGTGTGGAACTTCCCATACAAACTGAAATTCTCATATCGCTCATCTCCGATACCGCTTATGCTAACGTCCTGAAATTTCACACAGCTATTTAATATATGAATCACGTACTTATGGCGTAAAGTGATAGATAATGGGAAAGGGGCGTGACACCGCCCATACAAACTGGAACCACTTATGCTAACGTCCTGAAATTTGACACGGCAATATACGTTGTCAATACCGTACTTACGGCGAAATATGGTAGATTTTGGAAAAGGGGGCGTGGCAACGCCCATACAAAGTGAAATTCTCATATCGGTTATTTCTGGAACCACTTTTTATAAGGAATTTTATACACCTACATTTATACACATATAAAATCGCAAGAATCATTCAATTGGGAACCATTTTCTCCCAGATTTTAAAATCGCATTGAATGATTGTTGTTTTGTGCAAAAGTTTTTAGAAGGATCAGTGTGTTTGTCTTCCGATATTTGGAATTGGTATATGTTTGACATATTAGTCAGTGATGAACATCTCATCTATACATACAAATACATATGCATATTTTTTATAAATGAAAATCGAGGTTATTTTTTCGGTCTAATTCAAAAGCTACTCAAGAAATTTGGAGGGGACTTGGTAGAATTAGCATTAATCAATGCGATATTAACGTTCATAATTCGTTTTTAAGTTCTCCTGTAAATTCGCTTTAAATTATGCTGGTGGACTTTAAAATAGTAATTCGCTTAAAGGAGTTATTGGTGACAGGTAAAATTCGAAAGTCTATGAAAAAAGATGTCGAATTTCGACAACTGGGCGATACTAGATTTATTAATTCTGCTTTCTTAGGAGACGAGTTCACGTATGAAAATTTTTATACAAACTGCCGATGTCCTGCACTGTCAAAAACACGACTAAAATACTTGGGAGCCTACCAATTCGAGAAGTTAGAGGACATCTCAAAAGTAGAGCTAAAATTTCTACTTAAATTCGCAAAACGCGTTGACGTCTTTTGTGATGTGTAATTTAACGCGTAAAAACGAGCTCCAAATGGCAATGCCAGGGCCTACCCGTCTATTTGCGGCTCAACGCCGCCCAGATTAACCTAACCTAACCTTATTTAAATTTAAGTGCTTCCACAGTGTTTCGAAAATACTGAAAGTTTATGCAAATTAATTTTTTTATGTTTTCGTTTATCACTGACTTCGTTTATGCGATATAATTCATGAGTTCTTCATTTTATGAATTCAAAAATGGTTCCGTTTATGCATGATTCGCGAATGCATGAAATGAAGTGTTGAAAAAGTGGCAGCGCACTAGTGAGAAACTAGACAGTGGGATTGTGACTTGGTGACTTTTATGAATTCGCGCCAGGAAATGGTCCATGTTTTATTTAAAATGGTTTTAATGTATTTGATTTTTTTCATTTAGAGTTGTATATTTGAACAAATGCACACAGCTTTTGAATCTAAAAACCTCGTAACCATCGTATACACCTTTTCTGAAACGTGGACTTGCCCTTCCCGATTTCATGAAATGATTCCGAAATTCATGGTTAATTTTCATCAATTTTTACCAACTCCGACAGGTAAAACAAAAAAGGGAAACATTGCCTTTGGCTTGCGTTATATTTTTTTGGTAATACATGTTCACATGGAATTCGCGATAACACCGGATACTTTGAAATGACCATCGCATAAACGTAGTATACTAATAATAAAGTTGAGCGTAAGCGAAAAATGCATTTCAATATGGTGGAATCATAACATTATTATGCATATCGATTAATTTACAACTCTACATTAATCGATCCAATCGAAAAACTCGATTATCGATGTTGAATGTAATTCGAAACGGAATTTCTACAGACGTATTTAGGTCGGTGTTATGCAGACAAACTTTTGTTTGCCAAATTAAATGGCGGCTGCTTAGTTTGCTCGGAGGTGGTTATGTCGAGTTTGGCACAGGGTTGCACGTTCATTATGGTTTTCTTGGCTATTGCCAACACGAAATGAGAATTTCAGATGTACATAACGCGCAAAATTTAAAATTTTTGTATATGACAACACCGAATTTGCTGCAGTTTGACCAAACAAAATTAGTTTGCTGTGAGAGTCGCCAAACTCGCTCCCTCCGAGTTTGCTGCAACAACAATTGCACGCAGTTTGCCAAACAAAATTTCTGCATAACACCGACCTTAAAAGCCATCGTGTTGATTGATTTGTGCATTGAATTGCAATTTTCGTATAATTTGTAAACGTTTTGAGCTTTAACATATAATTTAAAGTTTTCCATTGTTTTCTTTGTAAGAAGCACAAACTACATATTTACATGTTGCATGTTTCCAGTGTTGGATATACATTTTAGGTACATATACGCAAATATCCATACATATTTGGAATCTTCAACACACTGATCAACGGGTCGTTATCGCTCTACGAAACCACAATCAAACAAAATAGAAAATTTCAATACCACTAAAAATGGGAATAATTAATACCTGTCATCTACATCCCGATGTAAATGGCCATATCTTTAAACTACTGAATAATATATGGGAGCTCTACGATCAGCAAGACCTCATAGATGTAACGTTTAAATTGTCTAACCCCACTGCTATGTAAGTTTACCACTGATTTATTTATGCATTTAACAATTTCATATAATATTTTATTACAATTCTCACAGGGTTCCAGCACATCGCTTAATATTATCAGCGGCAAGTCCATATTTTAAAGATTTATTCAAAAGCGACAAGGGCTTAACTCCTGTTATTGAATTAAATAACGTAGACAGTGACACCTTTGAGCGTTTATTAACATTTTGCTACACCGGCAAGACGCTCATAACCATCGACAATGTGGATGCAACGCTGAAGGCAGCTATTGTTTTGAAGTTGGATGACGCGGTGGTCGATTGTGTTGACTATATTTTGGAACATATAACAGACTATACACTGCAGCGGGCATATAGCTTAGAGCGTGAAACTCAGTGTGTACCACTGTATGAGAAACTCTTGGAATATGATATAAATAATTTCATGGAGGTGAGTCTTATCGCTTTACCTCAATGTACTATCATTCCACCAGCTTAATAATAATATTTTGACGCTTACACTTTTGCTAAGTGTTTGGCCGAGCTTCCCCAATTTGTGGTGTGTGTCCTGATGTTATAAGACTAATGGAGAAACCTACAATTTTACGAAGCTTCCGAACAGCGAATAGTTTTCATGAGAAGCCTTTTCAAGACAGAAACACTGAGGCCCAGAGTTTACCGGTTAAACTGATAAGTTTGTTTGCACAACAGTAGGTTAGGCCTTAGTTCAGAGATAAAAACTCAAATAATTAACCCAGAAAATTTTGAGAGTTAAATGGTTAAGTTAATAGAAATTAAATTTTTGTAATTGTGAGATATTTTGACTCAAAACGCTGTTAGAATGCTGAAAAAGGTTGATACTTAGTCTTAATTTATTCAGATTATACATATTACTACCGTGCAAGAACACTACTAGTTAAATCACACAATATTTCACAGATATATTAGGTAGTTCGTTTATAGAAACAGCCTCTACAGACGAGTTTCTATTAGCTTGTTAATACTGATTGGGAAAAACTACCAGAAACTCTTGTGCGCGTGAGAGTTTGTATCCCTTTCTAGCTCTTGCGCTTACCTTCATTTGTAAACATATACCTTGACCGCTCACACGCCTTAGGACTAACAGGTAATTACATGATTAAATATGGGCATGCCCATGGTGGCGCACGTGACAGTCGTACGATTTCAATGTGATACAAAAAAGGAATACCATTTGTTTTCTTTAACTTTTTTGGGCCATTGTATAGCACATAATTAGCTCTATATTTAACCGAAAAATGAAATCAATCGAACTGCTTGGTCCTGAAATATAAGCATTTAAAGAGAGTGTCGTTACGTGACAAAAAATGGAAGTTGATTTTTTCTTTTCTTACAAAATCGCAAAACTCTGCGAATTGTGGATGGCTATTTTCATGAAACTTATTTTAATATGATTTGTAGCAATTCTAGTTGTTTTTAGAGTTTTTTGAATTAATGCAAATTGTTTCAATTCTCTTTTACAACCCCAAGTGTGGAACGTGACGTGACGTGGCGTTTTTAAAATCGCTCAATAACCACGCCAACTTCCCATATAACGGTAATTTTCAGAAATACGAAAACTGCGATATTTTAGTAACTACTGGAGATTATTCACTCAAAATTGATATTTATAATAAGTTTTAGACGAAAAATAAGAATATTATAAATTTTTGGAAAATGGGCGTAGCCACGCCCTCTTATGGTTACATGTGTATATCTTGGTAACCGCTGCACCAATTTCTGCCAAACTTGGCACAGTTGTTGGCCCTGGTACAGCATAAAAAATCGCCGAAACTTTTTAAAATCGGACAATAACCACGCCCACATCCCATATAACGGTAATTTAGAGAAATACAAAATTTTCGATAAATCATTAAATATTGAAGCTAATTTACTCAAAATTGATGCTTGCAACAATTCTTTACCAAGAAATACGTTTATGGTAAAATTTTGGAAAATGGGCGTGGCACCGCCCACTTATGATCACATATAAGTATATCGGTAACCGTTCTACCAATTTGTACCAAACTCGGTATGGTTATTGTGCTTGCCACATAAAAGCAAAACGTTGAAAATTATTGAAATCGGACTAAAATAACGGCCGCTTCTCATATGACGGTAAATTTCAGAAATGCTTGAAACTTCAATATTTCGAAATTGAAGGACGCTAATTTACTCAAAATTGATACACCCCGGCTTACCATCTAGCGGAAGGTTTCGGAAAGGTGAAAAAACATATATTTAATACTTGCGCCGGGTATTTAATGTTCGGCTCCGCCCGAACTTAGACTTTCTTACTTGTTATGTATGTGTTACTTAAATTTATTTATATTTTACTTCTATGTACATATGTACATTCATATACTTATAGGCGCATATTCATAGTCACATTTAGTACTCAACTCATTCATAGTCGCCTTAGTTTCGACTTTTCTGGCTAAGTACCAACTTAAAATTTAGTTTCGGCTGCAGCTGCAACTAAGTCGTAACTAGGAAGAAGTATTTTATTAAATTAAGGGGAAACAGACGAAATATGTAAAAATTAAGTTGGTAGAGGGTGATTTTGATAATATTGAATAATCTCCAATTAAAATTTACAAAGATCGATCCATTTTATTCGGAAGATGAAATTAAATGCGTATTACAATTCGAATAAAGCTAAATCACAAATTTATAATTGAAATAATTTATATAAATTCTCAAATAATAAGTCAGTTTCACGCTAGTTCTTTTAAAGAAAATTTGTGCATAACATTTAGATATGTGTTTGTATGTTTCACAGCATGCTTTCGATAAACATCGACTTCCCATCACTGCGGTTGTTCTGGCTATTTCACACAATTAAAAAGATAATGATACCTTATTCTTTTGCATAATCATGCAATGAAAATAAAAATTACATAAACGGATGATCAAACTTGACATTATTTAATAAAAATGTAATTTTTCCAAAATATCGTAAAGAAAAATCGATACATTTTCACACTCATTTTGCTATATCGACTGTGTTTATACACGGAAACTTTTGTCGACCCGATTTTTCACATTCCGTTTTGGTGTTGCTCATTCATTTACACACGTCGATTTTTGTGTATGCAATTGTTGTTGTCAGCTGTGAACCGCTAACTCAATTTACACAGACGAACGAGAGCACAAAGCGTGTTGCCCGAGTACGTGCAACTCTGTGCCCCTCTCCTTTCCTCGTCACGCTCTCTCCTAGAAACGTCGAGTTGCGGCAACAAAAATCGCCGTGTGTAAATGAGCACATCGTAAACTAAGTCGAAACTACTTAGTAGAAGTCTGAAATGCGACTATGAATAGAGGTAAATTTTCATAGACGAGACGGAGCTTCATCTGCCTCGGGAAACTCGCACAACACTTGCACAACTTCGCTCCGGCTACTGCGGCAGGTTAAACTCCTACCTGAGTAGATTGAATGAGGATGTGCCGAATGAGTGTCCGGCATGCGGAGAGACCCCACATGACTCGAAACATCTCTTCGCATGCCCGGAAAACCCGACAACCCTAACGGCCTAACAATGTTGAATTGCTGTGCAACTTGGTCTCTTGAACTGCAGCTATCAATATACCATGCCTTCCCATGAAGACGGTTATCTCCTCGATCTTGCTCTGAAGTCCGTTACAGTTAAATTGGAGGAGCTTCATGTGGTTCTCGGGACGTGTTGTTATGCGGGGTGTGAGGGATGTGTGTAGTCTTGCCACCATTGGCTGTGTGCGCTGCTGTGGTGGTTGTCGCCCTGTGGTGGTATTGGGTCGAAGTTCCTCGTCCAATCTCGCGTAGTGCGCAGACCTGAACATGTGCTAAAGTGGCACCAGCCAAGACAGGTGTTGCACTTGACTGATGTCACGTTACGAAATATCCTGGTCTGTGCAGATTGTAGGAGGAAACAGGAGTTGTTGGCGGCGGCGCGTAGGCGGTGGTGCGGTTGTGTCTGCTGTGTGGTCTGTCGTGGTTGTGGTGTGGTCTATTGTGTTGTTGTGTTGTGGTGCTGTGGTGTTTGTGTTAAGCTGCTCAGGTGGACTGGGGTTAGCCGTGAAGGCCGCTCTATTTGAGCAGCAGGAGGCCACAAATGATGTGGTCCACTGCCGATGGGTCCGTAGTCCTGAGCAGACTCTGAGGTGACTCCACCCGTCGCAAGCATTGCGCTTGACTGAGGTGGAGTTGTGGTGTAGTCGCCTCTGGCATACACAGCAGGTGTAGATTTCTGGCCCTGGGGTTGACTCGATGCCAGCCCTGAGCAGAAGAATACGTAGCAAATGTAGCCCTGTGGACGAACAACTTCTGGTACACTTCGCCGACCTAAACGGGGTTAGATCCTGTTGTCGATGCTGAGTGTTCTCCAACCGTAGACAGCTGGAATGAACTACAAATTATCAACACATCTTCCAAAAGCTCTTCAGGAAATCGGGCCCGCTAAGCGCATATAGATCAATATTTTGGACGATTATGAATTTTATGGCAAAGACAAACCGTCTGTTTCTCATATGGTGTTGAAAAAACATATCGCATACAGGGCTTTTCTAGCAACTGTCGAAAATCCGAAAGACAAAGGCCTTTCGTAAGACAATTATCAATTCTGGCAGCTATCTTAAAAGCTTTTTACTGTCTTTCGAAAGACTATTTGAAAAATTTGCTAACGAGAAGGTCTTGGCTTTATGCTTTTCACCTTTTAGCAATAAGTTTTTTAAAAAATGAAATTAAATAAAAAAAATTATATATTTTTTTTGGACAATAAGAACTAATAAATAAAAGAAAACTAAATTAAATAAAAATATGTTAAATGAAAATAAAGCAGAGATAAATAAAAATATTTTTAGAAACTAAATTAAATAAAAATATTTTTTTTTTCTTTTTAAACATTAATTTCTAAAAATTAAATTAGAAAAAGGAAAAAAATTATAAAAAAAGAAAGTAGTAGTTAAAAATTTAATGAAATTAAAAAAAGGATTTTTATTTTTAAAACAAAATCTTTAAATTAGGGGAAAATTAAATTAAGAAAAAGCTAAAAAATAAAATACAATCCTAAAAACTTAATTAAATAAAACAAACATATTTTTATTTTTAAATCAGTAAGATATAAAAATTAAGAGAAAATGAAATTAACACAAGAAAAACTAATTAAATGAAAGAAGAAATTTAATGACATTTAAAAATGTTTTGCTTTTTTAGACAATAAAGTCTAACAATTAAAAGAAAATTAAACTTAAAAAGGTAAAAATAATAAAAAAAAAAATCAAATTAAATGAAACAAATATATTTTTCCTTTTAAAACAATAAAAATACAAAAATTATAAGACAATGAAGTTAGTCAAAAAAACAAATTAAATTAAAAAAAATTAATAAATAAAATAAAATTCTAAAAATTGAATTAAATTAAAAGAATTCTTTTTTAAACAATAATATTTCAAACA